CAAAAAAAGCCTACAGTCACTAGAAGAAAAGAAATAATAAAGATTTGAGCAAAAATCAATGAAACAGAAAATAGAGAGACAATAGGAAAAGTCAACAAGACTACAAGTTGGTTCTTTGAAAAGATTAATAAATTTGACAACCCACTGGCAAACTTAACAAAGGAAAAGGAGAAGATGCAAATAAGAAATGAAATGGGTGACATCACAACAGAACCAACAGAAATAAAAAGAATATCAGGATACTATGAAGAACTGTACTCCAACAAATTTGAAAACCTAGAAGAAATGGATAGATTTCTAGAAACACACTACTTACCTAAACTAATACAGACTGAGTCAGGAAATTTGAATAGACCCATAACAAAAGAAGAAGTTGAACAAATCATAAAAAAATTTACCAACAAAAACAACAAAAAGTCCTGGCCCTAGATGGTTTCGCTGGAGAATTCTACCATTCAGAGAAGAGCTGACACCATCCTACCCAAACTATTTAAAACAAACAAACAAACAAACTCATTGCCGTCAAGTCAGATCTGACTCATAGTGACCCCTCCTTGGGTTACCGAGGCAGTATCACTATGGAAGTAGATTGCCCAACCTTACTTCTGAGGAGTGGCTAGTAGGTTTGAACCTCCAGCCTTCTGGTTAGCAGTCAAATGCCTTAGGTACTATGCCACCAGAACTCCTATTCCAGAACATAGAAAAGGATGGAATTCTCCCAAATTCATTTTGTGAAGCAAGCATAGTTCTGATACCAAAACCAGGTAAAGAAACCACTAGAAAGGAAAACTATAGACCAATATTCCTCATGAATATAGATGCAAAAATCTTCAACAAAATCCTAGCCAATAGACTCCAACAACATATCAAAAAAATAATGTCATGACCAAGCGAGATTCATGTGAAGTATGCAAAGATGGTTTGGCATTAGAAAAACAATCAACATAATCCATCACATAAGTAAAACAAAGGAAAAGAATCACATAATTATATCAATTGATGCAGAAAAGGCATTTGATAAAATCCAACACCCACTCCTGATTAAAAAAAAAAAAATCTCAGAAAAATAGAAATAGAAGGGATATTCCTCAACATAATAAAGGGCGTATATGCAAAACTAACAGCCAACATTATTCTCAATGGAGAGAAACTGAAACCATTCCCCTTGTGAACAGGAACAAGACAAGGATGCCCTCTATCTCCACTTCTATTCAACATTGTATTGAAAGTCCTAGCCAGGGCAATAAGGCAAGAAAGGGAAATCAAAGGCATCCAAATTGGTAAAGAAGAAGTCAAACTATTCCTATTTGCAGATGATATGATCCTGTATATAGAAAATCCAAGAGACTCAGCAAGAAAATTATTAGAACTTATTGAACGATTTAGCATGGCGGCGAGATACAAGATCAACATGCAAAAATCTCCTCTATACCAGCAAAGAGGTCTCTGAAAAGGAAATAAGGAAATCAATACCGTTTACAATAGCTACCGAGATCTGGTTTCCCCTGGCTTTTCTTTCCCCTGCTTCCTGCCTCTTGAGGGGGGAGGGCTATGTTTTGTTCCATTGTGCATAAGGTCACTATGAGCAGGAGCTGACTAGACAGCACATAACAACAACAACAACATTGCATTCCACTCAAAGGGAGCCCTGGTGACACAGTGGTTAAAGTGCTCATCAGCTAACTTAAAGTTTGGAGGCTTGAACCCACCAGTTACTCCATGGGAGAAAGATTTGGCAGCCTGCTTCCGTAAAGATTAATGCTTTGGAAACCCTACTGGACAGTTCTACTTTGCCTGCTAGGGTCACTATGAGAGAATTGACTCTATGGCAGCAGGTACTTCAACCAAGGTAAGACAACAGCAACTTTAAACTCACATGGTGAACCTATGTAAGTTAGAGTATACCTGCATTCCTTAGGGTTTTCAGTGGCTGGTCTTTTAAATGAAGTAAATACCTAGGCCTTTCTTTCAATACACCTCTGGGAAGATGCAATCCTCTGACCTTTCTTTTAACAACCATGAGCATTTAACCATTTGTACCACCCAGGGACTCCATACCAACCTCACCACCATCAGAAGTAACCCTGCCCCTCCCCTCTGCCTGATCCCTACCAGCAGCCCTTGTCTAAGGCCTTTATGAGCACAGCTGACAAACACCCTGAGCAAGGAACATAGTCACAAAATAAAGCAGCTTTCTCCCCAGCCCAGGCGTCTCATAAGAACCATAGCCCTGAATTGTGCAGATGGTTGCACCTGCCGTGCGCTTATGGATTTTCTCCAAGGACTCTAAAGGGAGCTGCCTGATGCAGCAAATACAGCACAAACAACAGATTGCTTTGTGTCTTGTTGAATGTTCTGTAACTGGAGCTCAACCACACTCTGCTCTGTGGTGACATTCAGAGATATCCAGCTGGGAAGTAGCTTGCCTTCTCATTGCTCGGACTTCTCCCAAAGCTCTGTTTATAGAGTTTGGTCACTCGGAACACCACCGATCAAATGACTATGTCTTAGGAAAGGAAAGGAGCTCTGGTAGCATAATGCCTAAGGCATGTGACTGCTAACCAGAAGGCTGGTGGTTCAAACCCACCAGCCACTCCTCAGAAGGAAGTTTGGACAATCTACTTCTGTAGTGATACCTCCTCAGAAACCCAAGGAGGGGTCACTATGAGTCAAAATTGGCCTACAGCAGTGAGTTCGGTTTTTGGTAGGTGGATACAGTGGCTATTAATGAACATTACAATGTCTGTGGACCTTGCCTCAAAAGGAAAACTGCAATCATTTTGTGAGTCAGACAACTCTTCCCTATCTCAAAAGTTGTGGATTCTCCTACATAACTGTCCGGAGTCAGGAGCAGATATTGTTGTTCAGAAAAAGACCAACTATACAATTTTTAGGAACTAGAGCTCTGATGGCATAGTGCATAAGGCATTTGACTGCTAACCAGAAGACTGGTGGTTCAAACCCACCAGTCACTCCTTGGAAGGAAGATTGGACAATCTACTTCCGTAGTGATACCATCTCAGAAACCCAAGGAGGGGTTGCTATGGGTTGGATCCGATTTGATGACAGTGAGTTTTGGAGTGCAAATAAAAACACAAGAATCTTGTTAAAAATGCAGGGGGGAAATGCCATTAAAGGTACTAAATATAATGTTTTTCCTTTCTTCTGCAGTCTCTCTCTTGACCTGTCATGATGATTTTTATTTGCTGTTTGATGTCCTGCTCCCTCAGGCACAGAGATGCTGGCAGAGTAAGCACAGACCCTCACAGACACCCAGGGCTCTGCCCCACTGCTCAGGGCATGAATGCCTGTGCCCCACCAACTGCCAGACTGATGCTCCATAACCTGGCCAGAGATGGGAGAGTTGATCCAGGCACCTCCTTTCCCACAAAGCCATCACCCCAACTACTGTGGACAGGCAACCCTCAAGGGCAAGAAGCTTGCCCTCACAGAGGCACTCGCCAAATGCACCATGGTGCTGCCCATCTGAGGTCCCTGAGATGTGCACAAGCCCCACACCAGCCTGTCCTGTGCTCAAGCTCCCACTGGGGAGTAGGGAGAGGGAGCTCAGAGATGCTCTGGTACAGGTCAGTGGACAGCTGAGAACCTGTCCTGGGGAGGTGGCAGGATATGGGGCCATCCATGAACTGAGGCTTCAAACCCTTGCTGCATGCTCCAGTGATCCATGACATCTCACTTACAAAGTACACATTCTAAATGAAGATTAGTAAGACGGGGATGCAGAGCATTGAGCTCCTCAGTGCCCCCGATGACTGTACAATTTTGGATCGCCTTCCCTGGTGGTACAGTGCTTAAGCGCTCAGCTGCTATCTCAAAGGTTGGTGGTTCAAATCTACTAGCAGCTCTGTGGGAAAAAGATTTGGCAGTCTGCTTCCATAGGGGTTATAGCCTTGGAAATGATGTGGCAGTTCTACTCTATCATATAGGGTTGCTATGAGTTGGAATCAACTTGATGGCGGCTGGTTTCTTCCCATCCCAAGTGTATATATTTGTAAGATTTTGATATATATGCTGTGTGTGTATACTTACACTTACATATATTACAAGTAAGAAAGGCTTTCTGTGTTTCCCCATTTCAACTTTATTTCAGTATGACTTAATTAGCAGGGTTAAAACTGAAGTTAACATTTTTCTATTTAAAAATCCTTTCACTAGAAGGAAACATATCAAAATGTTAATAGTACTTCTCTCTGGATCAAGGTCTAAAAGGTAATTCTTATTTCATTTTCTGGACATTTCAGTGTTTTCTAAATGGATATGGATTCATGGAACATTTTTATAATTAGGAAAATACAATAAATATTATTTTGTAAAGTAGTAAAATAAACATATTTTACCTGTAGGCAGGGTGTACTCCTTCTTGGATTTTTCTGATATAACCAGTGTTATTTCTCTGTTAACTTTCCTTAATACCTCTTGGATCATAAGAATTTCAAGATTTTCCAGAAGTTTCTGAAGCTAGAGTAAGCATAGGTTGAGAGTCACTCTCGACTTTCATGTTATGCTCAGGGCTCGTAAGTCAAATTCCTGCAGAAGGGCCTTGGGCTGGGTCCTGTCCTCTGTGGCTCTCTCTTGGGAGCAAGGGGGTTTCTTTCTTGGACTTCCAAGTGCTTCTGGCAGGTAGATACGCTTCTGTGGAGACCAATATCTTTTCTCCCTGGCCCATATTTTTTATTTATGTATTTTTTGCTTTTATTGGGATGAAAACATACACAAAAAGATGTTAACCAACATAACTACTTCCACATTTGCAGCTCAGGGACTTTGATGACATTTTTTGTGTTGTGCTACTATCATTGGTCTCCTTTTCCAAAATATTCCACCACCATAGCATAATCTCAATGCCCCGCAAACAAAAGCTTCCCCTTTCCCCCTCCCTCCTATTCCTGGTAACCGTTAATAATGTTTTGTATATGTATGTATGGGAGCTCTGGTAGTATAGTGCCTAGGGCATTTGACTGCTAACCAGAAGGCTGGGGTTCAAACCCACCAGCCACTCCTCGGGAGGAAGATAGGGCAATCTACTTCCATAAGACTGCCTCGGAAACCCAAGGAGTAGTCACTATGAGTCAGGTCTGACTCAATGGCACATAACAACAACAACAACATATATATGTATATGTATGTATGTGTGTGTGTGTGTGTATATATACACACACACACACACACACATTTTTCCCCCAACCTACCTAGGAATTTTCCCTCCCCTTCCCTCCCTGATAACCAACAAAGCAGATTTCCTTCCATGCATAATACTTTCCTTGACTTCTTACAATAGTTCCCTGGCCCACATCATGACTGAAAAATCCAACACATTTTACCAAGTTTTGCTAAATTGTGAAGTACTTCCTGGGGTGCCCTCATGTCTTCTGGGCTCTCAAAATGTGGCCAGGAATAACATACCATACAAAACATTGTTCCACCTCCTACTTTGGCGAGTAGCGACTGGGATCTTAAAAGCTAGCAAGCTGCCATCTAGATGCAACAATGGGTCTCTCCTCGTCAAGAAGAAGAAAATCAAAATTAATGGAAACAATCAGTCCTAGCGACTGGTACACCATCCGATCTGCAGCCTATATGACTATGAGACCAGAAGAACTAGATGGTGCCCGGCTACCACGGTCATCCACTTGGAAGGGGATCTATGTAGGAGATCCTTGATAGAGAGGGAGAACAATGTGGAACAAAACTCAAAATCATTTGGAGAAAAAAGAAAGGGGGGAGGACCAGGTTTGCTGGTCAGATAGAGCCTGGTAGAACCACTGAGACTATGGCCCCTAGCTGCCGTTCAGGTCTAGAATTGAACCCACACCTGTGGCTTCTAGCCAAACAAAAGACAAGCATATGAGTTGAACATTTACCTGAGGTAGATACACTCCTTGGAGAGAACAATCATGGGAGAAAGAAGGGCTGCTTATTCACCAGGAGACAGCTCAGGGAGCAAGAGGGCATGGAGGGATGGACACAGGGAAGAGGTAATTATCGGGAGGAAGTAGGAGGGGAGCTGTTGCATTGTGGTAAATTGTGGTCAATGTCATGAGACAAAGTGTATGTGAACTGCTGTATGGAAAGTGAATTTGCTCTGTAAACTGTCACCCAAATCACAATAAAAAAGAAAAGAAAATGCATTAGCGTTTAGATCTGCATTAGTTAACCAATATTTTCCAAATGACAATGAATTTTAATGTAATACAATACAGAAAGTTCATTGATACGGTTTCAGATTCCACGTTGTAAATAAACTTTTAAGAAGCTATCACTTGTTAAATTTTAGTATGGTTTCAAAAAAGAATAGAATTATTTGAAAAGGCTACTAAAATACTCCTCCATTTTCTGACTACTTACTATGGGAGGCCAGATTTTTTGTATATATTTCAGCTCCATATTGCAATAGATAAAATGCAGAAGCAAATATGAGCATCTAGCTGCCTTCTATAAAGTGAGAATAAAGAAATTTGCAAAAATCTTTGAAAAAAAAAATGTGGCCAGGAGTTCTGTGGGCTGTCATTACAAGAGAAGCACTAATGTCTGGGACTTGATTTAGGTTAACTAAGAAGGATTCCGTGGGAAGACTTAAAACTCCTTAAATCACCATGGGAAAATTTGCCAGTAATGACCATGAGCCCTCACTTGATCCATTATGCTAGTTTCTCCCTCTCAGGAGACCTCAGGTGTTGGAGAGGAACCAGGGTCCAGACAGTTCAATGGGCTGGGGACTTAGGGGAGTTGGGACTGGTGTAAGTTGTCCTTGATGGTTATTGGACATGTGCATCCATACTGAAAACAGAAAAGCCAGAGGCTTTGATTGCTTGTTATAGTAAGTGGAGCCTGTCTCTCAGAACAAGGTGAGCAAAGGCTTGGGAAACTAGCCTCTTTACATTCATCATCTAACACATACCAAATGGGCTGCTGTATAAATGTCATTTTCTTATTTTTATAAAAAATTACAAGAAACCATTTAAAAATTTCATTTCTGTGTATATTTGTGCACGTATATGTGAGAGAGATTTGTGTGCTGGATGTTATGGTTAAGAGACTTGTGGTTATGTTTCTGTTATAGCCTTTCATGTGGACCTTAATTTGAAGAAAATCAAAACATGAAAATCTAGACTTACAGAACTGATGTGTTAACCCTACCAGCTGCCTTTAATTGATTTTTGAGTCATGGAGACTCATGTGTGTCAGAATAGAACTGTGTTCCATAGGGTTTTCAATGGCTGATGTTTTGGAACTAGATCACCAGGCCTTTTTTCTGACGCACATCTAGGTGGACTGGAAAGTGCAACCTTTCTGTTAGCAACTGAACATGTTAACTGCTTGCCCCTCACACATACACACACACAAAAACAAACTCACTGCCATTGAGTCGTTTCTAACTCATAGCAACACCTCCTTGGGTTTCCGAGGCGGTATCTCTACGGAAGTAGATTGCCAATCTTCCTTCTGAGGAGTGGCTGGTTAGCCTTTTGGTTAGCAGTCAAGTGCTTTAGACACTATGCCACCACACAGGGACTCCATTAACCAAAACAAAACTCATTGTCATCGAGTTGATTCCAACTCATAGTGACCCTATAGGGCAGAGTAGAACTGCCCCATGGGGTTCTCAAGGATAGCAATCATTAAGGAAGCAGATTGCCACACCTTTCTTCCATGGAGTGGCTGGTGGGTTCCAACTGCTGAACTTTCAGTTAGTAGCTGAGTGCTTAACAGTTGTACCACCAGGGCTCCTTTGGGATTCTACTCCAAAACCAAACCAAACTCACTGCCATTGAGTCAGTTTTGACTCATAGTGACCCCCATTGGGTTCCCAGGCACTAAATCTTTATGGAAGTAGATTTCCCCGTCTTCCTTCCGTGGAACTGCTGGTGGGTTTGAAACTCTGACCTTGTGGTTAGCAGCCAAATGCCTTATCCACTACGCCACCAGAGCTCCTGGGATTCCATTGTGTTGTTGTTGTTGTTATGTGCCGCTGAGTCAGACCTGACTCATAACGACCCTCCTTGGGTTTCCAAGGCAGTATCACTACGGAAGTAGATTGCCCAACCTTCCTTCTGAGGAGTGGCTGGTGGGTTTGAACCACCAACCTTCTGCTTAGCGGTCAAGTGCCTTAGGCACTACGTCTATTAGGAGGTGGTTTTTTTCTGGGAGTCTCAGAGTGGTGCAAACAGTTAATGCCCTAGGCTGCTAACAGAAAGTTGGACATTCAAGTCTACCCAGAGGTGCCTCAGAAAAGGCCTGGAAATCTACTTTTGAACAATCAGCCATTGGAAACCCTATGGAGCACAGTTCTACACTGATACAGATGGGGTCTCCATGCAGCTGGAATTGACTAGATGGCTTTTTTTTTTTTTTTTTAATTTGCTTAATTGAAGCCTTAAATGTCTTTAAATCTTGGCTTTGCCAGAGTCTGTTTGATGATTTACAAATCCTCAATTTATACTTGACTTCTTAGAAAAATACCATTTGGGCATATCTATAGTTTTAAATGCTATGCCATAAAGCAATTTATGCAAACCAAATATAAAATAGCTTCTGCATACCTGCTGAGTTTTTATTTCAATTTCTGAAGCTCCTTTGGGGGGAAGAATACACTGATTCTTTATTATAAGTCCTTCAAATTCATCTTCTTTCCCCATCTGCCTGGCTATAGCTTTCATGCTGGGGTAGAGAATGTCCGTTCTATTAAAGAAGAGAAATGGAAATTAGCGAACATATTTTTTCTCATTCAAATGATCTGATTATTTTGTTAATTCATTTTCGGTTTCCTGTAGCAAGACTTTCAGTCATCAAGTATAAACTTCCCAACCCATTCACAGCCATTCACATCAGCATCTGAATTCACCATGGTTGCTATTCTCTTCTTGTTGTTACTTGCCCTGTTCTAACTCATCGCAACCCCATGTACAACTGAAAAAACACTGTCTGGTCTTCCACCATCCTCACAACCATTGTTATGCTTGAGTCCATTGTTGCAGACACTATGCCAATCCATCTCATTGAGGGTCTTCCCTTTTTTCGCTGACCTTCAATCTTACCAAGCATGATATCCTTCTCTAGGGACCCTTCTCCAGGGTCCTTTCTGATAAATGACCAAAGTATAGGAGATGATGTCTGGCTAGTCTTGCTTCTAAAGAGCATTCTGACTGTACTTCCAAGACAGATTAGTTCATTTTTCTGGAAGTCCATGGTGTTTTCAATGTTCTTTGCCAACACCACAATTCAAATGCATCAACTCTTCTTTGGTCTTCCACATTCATTGTCAAGCTTTCTCACATGCATATGAGGCTACTGAAAATACCATGGCTTGGGTTAGGTGCACCTTACTCTTCAAAGTGACATCTTTGCTCTGAAACACTTTAAAGAGGTCTTTTGCATTAAAAGGAGCTCTGGTGGATAGTGCCTAAGGCATTTGACTGCTACCAGAAGGCTAGCAGTTCAAACCCACCAGCCACTCCTCGGAAGAAAGATGGGGCAATCTACTGCCATAGTGATACTGCCTTGGAAACCGAAGGAGAGTCGCTATGAGTCAGATCCAACTCAATGGCAGTGAATTTTTTTTTTTTTTTT